AACACACTTCGCCCCGCGAAACTCGCAACAGCTTTCGAGACGGCCAATCGGCATCGCGGAAAAGATACAACAATACGAAATGATAGATTTCGACTCCGAACGCACACTTCTCGGTCCACATCTCTTTTTCGACTTAACGCGCCTTTTTTTATATAGGATATAATATCTATATATATAATATCTATGGAAAATACGCGACGGCAGAAGTAACGGAAATATTAGTGGCGCTGCAACCGACGCAGCAAATAGCAGCATCAACAGGAGAAGTATTTTCGCATCTCGTTGGTGCGCGTTGTGCACCACTCGGTTATATCACGTCAAGTTGGACCAATCGTAAGCTAAGTATTCACCTAGCGCTTGCCAAAACCATCCGTCTGGGGATGTATGAAAATATATTTTTACGTCGCAACGACGATCATTACTCGCTCGCATGCACGAACACACGCGCAACGGATGCGTGTATACTTTTCTATCAGCGGTATCGCGATCGTGTTATCATCCTTTTACGCGACGTAGCCATGCGCGACCGCAATAACGGACCGATAATTACCTTTACAGATCTAGAATTATTTATTATCTTCGTACAATATACTCAGCACTTATGCAATTATATTAATTGCACATTAAACGTGAGATTTTGAACGTCCAATATTCTTTATTAAAATTCGTACAGAAAACGAATCGTCAATCAAACTTCATTCTAACAACGTACGTTCAATTTGCTTTTTTTCAGCGACTTAGAAACGAGCATATTTTAATTATGCGCGGATACGACATAGCAAGTTCATCTTCTTTCCTGATAGTGTTGGCATGTAATTATCGTACGCATTAAATTATGGATAAGCGCACTTTTGCTACACTGTAACTGGGCAAGGCTATGTTGGACGGGGGAACGTGCTATTAATCATCGCGCAATCTGAAACTTGAAAGCATTAAGGAATGCCGATTTCGTATTTACACGTTGCAAAAGTTTTTTTTTATTTTGGTGATCCATGCAGTATTCCGTTTTCAATCGTATTTAATTGGAGTATCGAATATAAATAAAAACATTTTTATTAATTAAAGGAATTTATAGAAATCTCAAAAACACAATTTGTCGATCAATCAGCGTATTAATTCAAAGGTGCAAAATATTATGCACGTATCATATTAAATTTAGCTTGGCACAGGACTGCAAAAGATTGACCTCATAAAATTATTGTCAAATATTAACTACGTTGAATTAAAACGATTTTAAATCAATTCCATCAGAAATACAAATTAAATTTATAAAAGTTGATAATAGTTCTTTAATGAAACCGCGAAAAATGATTCCTAATGCGCGCAGTAATCCAATTAGATAGCATCGTAATGTGCTTATTCCACACTCGTGTCAACTACATTGATATGTAGGAAGTAATTAAGGTTCATCATACGCACATTAGTATCGCTGACTTATTGTTTACACTAGACTGGTGCTGCTACCTCTGCGCGGTAACTCTTATGGCAAAGCATCCTTACTTCTCGAGGAGCGTCATTAATCTCTGACACGTGCGCAGAGGTGTGGACATCCGCTATTTAACCGAGTGTCATTCCGATGCGTTTAGACTTGTAGGCACGCGTGCATGTTGGTTATACGTCAAATTAGTCAACGAAAGATGCGTATCTTTTTTCAGGAAGGCAATATATAATTAATTTGAATATCCCCATTTATCAGATATATTCCCATAAAATCTGTATAAACAACTCACTCTTGGAACGTTCCGAAATTATACATTAAGCTAAACTGTATATCTTGAATCATTATAATCTCTTGGTAATTTCTTTTATACTTTATATACTTTAAATGACGACTCTCAGCGCTCATTGTAGACAGATATGCATTATTTATACTATACGCTAATATTAATATGTTATTATTTCCATATTGATTTTGTCACACAGCATTTGACACTCGTATAAATTCATGTGTTTTATATGACCTGTTAGTATGTGTGTAACACCATGAGCTTAGTGAGATGTGAAGCCGTTAATCGTCCACTTGCTCATACCATCGTCGTTGGAATGTCGCTTTCCGCGTCGACTTAAATATAGTTATCCAACCAGGCAAACAAGATCGGAATTGCACTGATTCTTTGCGATGTTGATTCCGAAACGATAAGGATCAGTATTAGCGTTATAATTTAACGAAATTATTAAAGCTACAAGCAACGATTATAAATATTTTTTTTAAAAAGGACGAATCCTTTAAGAAAGGATGAATCCGAATTCATAGAAAAATATGTGATTGAGAAATAGCGCGCTAACTTCACGACATAAAAGTGCATAAAAAAATTATTTCAAAGTTTAATTTTTAGAATTAGATTTTCAATAAACTTATTTGACTAAAATAAAGTAACTATCGCATAAACACATAGATTAAAACTAATGGCTTTAGCCTCACACGAAAATACGTCGTACGAAGTGATATTTATACGAGACTGTGTCATGAGGCTTGTTAGATACGCGCATCACGTGTTTGATTGCAAGATCTGCGGCGATGATACCAATCGTCAACAACTTTACTGTTGAGTACGACACGGTGCAATAGTAACGTTATAAATTTAACACTGCCGCAAATCGTTCGTCGATCGTGAAATAAAGTATCTCGCAACGGTTCTGGGCGAATGATCAGTGATCCGAAACCGAGGCGATTTACAACGAAAGAGAGAAGGTTTTGTCCGAGCATCGATTATCCACGGTCATAGTTAGCAAAAAGCATCGTACCTTTCTTTGACGCCTTGGGCCGCTTCTCACTCTTGGGGTAAGACAACCGGATCTGCAGCGCATACTTTAATTACCAATTAATCTGTATCTTTTTTCCTTAACAAGCGTGAATCTCTTAAAAATTCGTATATCAGGATATTCAAGTGGTTTAACGAACATCGTTAACAAATGAGATGGTTAGATTTTACTCATTTATACGCAACGCACATTCTTACGCATAACACATCCTTTTTAATAACATATTCAATATTCTAACGCATAGCACATCCTTTTTAAAACACGAAAATTAAACGAAAAAGAATATCGACCTTGGATGTACTGAAAGTACCAGTATAGTGGCAAAGGACATTTTCGTTTACGCTGGCTGTTATCCAATAGTAAAATTAAGCTCTCGTTGGAGAGACGAGTATGTAATGATGGCTACATTATAATTGCAGAAATATCCGGTAACGATTCCTGCTTGGCACGATGGTTTGCATATTTACTGCGGAGTATTTTAAGTGGCAACGGTAATATGTTACTTCTGTACGTCAGCCCAGTTCTAATATAGTCGTATGTAAAATATATTATTAGCAACTCCCCATTCAAGTTTCACATGCTAAATATTTTTAATTCGTTGACGCAATCGTTTAGTAAAACATTTTATCAACGAAGCAGATAATGGAAGTTAAATGAGTGGAGCGAGCTAATCCATTTATTTATTATTCAGCTGCACGTAATCCTCACCTGTTTTGCATAACACTATTTCTTATTCTGAGTGTTAAGTTATAACAAAATCATCAATTATTTTCAAGCAACGTTGTTGTTCCGATACAAGAAAAAATCTTCAGGTGTAGAAAATCTTCAATATCCACACATTATCGGCCCACTTTGCCACTTTGCAACTTTTTCAGTCTGCGAGAATACAGTGGAATTAAAGATGTTGGTGTGTAGAACTCTTGCGTGCTGTGAACTTCAAACAGCCGCCACATCAAACAGGTTCTCACGTGTTTGCGTGATCTTCGTGATATAACAAGGTAACATCTTCCATGACGAGATCAAAAATGTTTCTTCCGAGGGACAAGAAAAGATATTTCTTTCCTTGTATCTTTCCCTTGTAACTTTCTCACAATTATCTTCATGTGTAGCGACGAAAAATTAAATAATTTTGCAATCAAGCATTTTGTAATAATTAGCAAGGCTAGTATCAATATGATCAATTTCTGACAACTTATATCTTCCCACGGATATCAAGTACATACGGACGAGGAGTTTTAATCGTATCGAAGTTGGCAAGACTCTCGAGAGAAGAAAATAAACACGTATGATTTATAGTCAAGTTTAGCTGCAAGTAGTATTTTAGAAATGCGCATAAATTATATTTATCCTAATGTATCTTCTGCAAATCTTTCTGTTTCGTATAGCTACATGTTCAGTAAAGCTATATGTGAAATAGAAATTATAAAACAATACAATTTCTTGATTAAAGAAAAGTTGCTCCGCAATCTTTTAAATATAACAAAATTGTCAAAATTTTAGTATTTATGTTTTTAATATTTATATGCCAATTTCGATTTATTATTGCAACGTCCGCAAACATTTAATATATCTTCTAGTCGCTGCGCTGGTTCCAGTTAGGTTTGTGCCAAATTTTTAGTTAATGAATTTAAGTTAAAAATAGCTGATCTTCTGACTTAAGTTTAATTAATTTTCTTTATTACTCCAGTCATGTGGAAGTCAAAATTAATATCATCCAAAAGTAATTAAATCTAATTATTTTACAATAATTAGAATAACGATGCTAAGTTTTAAAATTTTTAAGTTCGATTATATATAATTCAAGGTGGAAATAAATATTTAAATTTAAACGAAAAATATATGAAATAAATAATTACAAATGATAAAATTATATTCTGCGCGATATTCTGACGAGCAATTTTCAAGTGACGCATTATCGTAGCTACGAGAAAGAAAATTCAAGTTAATATTTCTACAATATTGAATTTATTATGTAACTTTATACTTATTTCTATAAAATAAAATAATAAGTAAGAAAAGCTATTCATTTAAATTGAAATAATATCATTATTTGCTGGAATTCTTCATTATTTACTTTTGTATAAAAAAAACAAAATTTTTAATATTCAAATCGTATGTAATATTTCTAAGTCATTGAGTTAAAAATCTAAAAAAGAAAATTTTGACAGGTGCGTTTGATATTGCTTTTTTTCGAAAAATATCTTTTATCTTGATGGAAATATTAAAAAATGTCTCACCTCGGAAGATGCCAATTTTAGTAGATTCCAAATGGTCAGCATATTTAATTCCCGCGTTTAAGTCGTAGACATATTTGACGAGGATGGAGAAGATCTGCCATACCTTTGTAGGAATATACCAGACCGTGTGAGAATTTTGCATCTCCTTCCAAGTATATTGTAGTAAACTGCGTAGGTCACCTGAAATCCAACACAAATCAAACGTGAGAAGAAGATACTTCGATCAGCAGATATACATACGTGAATAAATGCATCCACGGATATTTGAACTAAGGGAATTTGTGGAGAGGGTTAAGATTAAATATAAATGGAGTCTAAAGCCAACAGAATTGCAGACAACAGTTCTTCGATAGTTACGTTATGATATATTAGACATTGCGACAACCAATAGTGACGCATCTAGTCGTTGCGGCTCCGCCTACTAGGAACTCCCGGATCGTTTTTAAAATAAGGAAATGGCCCCTTGCCTTTCATGCCCTCACCCCCGTTCGCTCTTGAACACCATCACTGCCCCACTCCCAGCTAATGTCGATAGCTCCCTTTTTCTCCCTCTACCTCCGAGAAACCGATTCGTACGACCCAACGGAATAGACAACAGCGCGATGCAGGTGCCGCGCCGCCGAGACGCTTGGCGTTGGTTCCCTCCTTTTACGCGCCCAGGTGTACCCGGCCAACCACGTGCTGCTGTGCGCGCGTGTGCACATGACGAGAGCGAGAGAGGAAGAATAGACAGCGATGGGAGGAGCTGAGACGGGGAAGGGTTCCGGGGAAAAGGACGAGGAACCCGTCGATATGGAGAAGGGGTTTAGCAACGTGCCTTCCGAGCTCGCGCGCGCGCGCACACGTTTTGGCGCATTTAGCCATAACATTGTACTATTAAAAAGAATTAAAATTAAACATATATCCAAACTTTCGTACAATGTCACTTGAGGAACAGTGTTTTCAAGTGATAGTGTCTTTTTATTCTCACTATCAGTGTCATAACTACATTGAAACAAAAGCGTTAAATTAAACAAATGTTTCTTGATTTAACTAATTATAAATGCTGCCGTCAATGACTGTCAAACAAAATTTAAGATTATTAAGTACTTCTGGGAAGATTGCAGAATTGTTGTGCTAAATAAGGAACTTGTATGCTCAAATACGAAACGTTAATTTGAATATACATATAAGTTGTGATTGTGACCCTTTTTTTCTGTGAGGGCAAACCTGATTTTGCGCCCCCAAATAAAATTCAAATTAAAAGTGTTTAGATATTAATATCACGGACAGATATAATGAAAGCACATTTAGGTATTTGCTTCCTGTGTATATCTATTTAAGATTTAAGATTAAATGCCTAGGTACCAAACATTACTCTAATTGTGAAAGTCCCCCCCCTCTCTCTCTCTCTCTCTTTCAACTAACTAATGCTCTTTGCAATTATTATAGTTCAATGTTCTGATCTCCACATGTTTCCATTAACATAGTAGAACTTGATGGCTACGTAATACAACAACTCGAGAATTATAATTTTCCTTTTGTTTCTTCCTCGCTTCATTGCATACGAAGCGAAAAAGTTACGAGGAGAAACCTGCTACCCAAAATCTTCCGGTTTCCATTCTCTAATATCATACTGTTCACTGCGAACTTTCGCCAGGCGACGCCATTTTGTATGGGATGCGCTATAATACGTGAAAAGGAGGACACCGCGATAGCTTGAAGACTAAGCCTTTTAATAAACATGATAATATGCATACAATATATTTATTTAAGAAAATTTTATGGATGTTATTTTGGAAACATGCTACGAAAACATATCTACAACGAAATAGAACTAGATATTGATTTCACATTTCTGACATTTCGAATTTGGAATCGTATTAGTAAGTTTATATTCACAAAAACCAGAGTTGGGAAGTAACGCGTTACTTGTAACGCCGTTACCATTTTCGTTACTTTTTTTCGGTAACGATCGTTACTTTTTTATGTCTGTAACGGTAACGGTAACGTCGTTACATTTTTACAGTAACGGTAACGAATTCAGCCGTTACTTTTATCGTTACTTTAATTCCCTATTATCTTTTATATCTGTTCAATAGATCGTGAGCTGGTCGCGCGCACTATTCTTGATTGGACAAAAATATTCCGATATTGGGCGCTGGAAGTCAATGTCACATGAGAATGCGCTGTAAACATTTATCGATGTCTTGATTCTGGGGCCCGATTCTTGAATTCATTCGAAGAAGAAACGTATACGAAAATTCTGCTCTGACAGAAAAGTTGAAAGTCGATTGGTCAAAAGCCACGCGTATATCCAATCAACTTGCTACTTTTCTGTAAGAGCAGAATTTTCGCATATGTTTCTCCTTCGTACAAATTCAAGAATCGAGCTCCTGTATGCTCGATGACTTGCTATATAGAAACTAGTTTAAAGTTTTAAGTTTTAATATTGATTATTAAATAATAATAATGTAATTTTACAATTAACATCTTACTTTAGCATTTCAACAAAGTAACGAAAAAGGTAACGAATCGTTACTTTCTAAGTAACGGTAACGCGTTACTTTTTAAAATCAGTAACGAGTAACGGTAACGAGTTACTTTTTACAAAAAGTAACGGTAACGGTAACGCGTTAGTTTTTTAAGGTAACGTTCCCAACCTTGACAAAAACTCACTGACATTGGCGAGACTTTACCACTTACAAAAATAGAAAATGCATTTGCAAATACACATAAATATATTTTATAAACTTTTATATATGTGTACGATGTATACTCTCTTCTCTCTCTCCCTCTTATTATACATATACTTTTTGATAAGGATGGTTCTCATATATCAACGGCAGGAGACGCATTATCGCAGGTTTAAAATCCACTCTCGTTGCTACGCGATTCTCAGTAATCTACGCTGGTGTTATCGGCGACAGGATCGATTACGTAATATGAGGGGAGTTACAAACGATATCATTTCGGTTCCATGAACGCCGCGATAAAACAGATGCGACAGGATGAATGACTGTTACGCATGTTTCGTTATGATACGTTTATGTATATTCATTTCTTACCCGACCGAATCCTTTCGCGGAAGGGAAACGGAGAAATGTATAGTTACGATACGAGACCGATGAAATAAGATCAATAATATTTGGATATGCGTCTCTCTAGTGAAGACAGAGTCCTTATGTTGCGCAACGATGATGACTGTTACGGATGTCTGCCTAACTCTCTGATTATATGGGTCCCTCTTGCACGAAGAAACAATCTATTCGCGTAAGTTTATTTGGCAGGAAAAATTTTATCAAATTAATAAAATTGGTATGGCTCAAATGTGTTATACACAATTGGAGGAATAAATGACTACGAGCCGTGACAGGGTGTTAGTGTCTAAATATTTTATTCTAAATTTATTGCGAAAAAATATCACCTCGGCCAGGGTTTGAACCTTTCTCTCGCTAGGCGGGCGTTTCAACCAAATTGACCACCGAGGCACATGGCAATATTCATCGCAATAAACAGTCTAATGTTGATTCCCGAGTACCACCTATCGTAATAGTATTCGAAACCGAAAACTACGCGCCGACAGTCTTAAAATCCCCATTATTACGTTCCAGGTTCAAACCCTGGCCGAGGTGATATTTTTTCGCAATAAATTTAGAATAAAATATTTAGACACTAACACCCTGTCACGTCGTAGTCATTTATGCCTCCAATTGTGAATAATTTTATATTGTAGTTGATATTTAAAGTATCTTCGGCTCCGTCTCGTATCTTCTCAGTTCTACGCGATCTCATTTTACGCAGTTTGAAAATATATCTTTCTATATTTGTTGAAATTATTATTTATATATCAATAAGCCTAAAGCTCTTGCTCGATTGTATTTATTGCATCATTCTGACCTTTTTCTAGTTAATTTACGGAGAGCACTTTAAGCTTATCCGCACAAGTGATAAAAAATTTACTTCTCTGCTTCTATTATTATTGCTTTTGTGCAAATAAAATAATTTTGTGCGAGATAAATATTTTTACAACATATATGGACTTTTCTCTTGCGTATTTTTTTTGTACTCTGGCAGACGTATTTACGTGAATCTCAACCATGCAAAACAAACTACATGGAACGAAAACTCCGCGTAAATCGAAAGGCGAATGTATATGTATTGCCCCACAAATGCATGTTCCACATCCAAACTGGTTTAAACGTCATTATTCGCTGATATCCTTGAAAAATTAATAAGATAAACAAATACATAATTTTTAAAGCCGACAAAGCGCGCACTTCTATGATGGAAAAATGTTACCTTGAAACATGCAATAAAAATATTCTTAAGACGCAGTAAAAAGAACGTAAGTTACAAAAATATAGTCTTATCAGAGCACTATCTGCGCTTTAAAGACACGTTATTATCATAAATGAATAAGGAATGTGCGTGTAATATATTTATTTTTTACTATCTTCTATAAAAAATTAAGTCTATCCAGATAACTGCCACATAGATCGAATTCTCCTGGGAATTTAATTAGAAAATTCGATTACTGAGGAATATAATTAGACTAGAAATATAATATGTAATTTCTCATACACGGATATTATATACAAAAGTATAACAAAAATGTGATAAGATAATAAAAAATGCTTTTATGATATATTCAACATATACGATAAGTAACATCACAGAATAGTATTGTAATTTTTCAAGTGCAATTTATATACACATCATAATGATAATTCAAATTCGTCACTTTGCAGTTAAAACCCATGTATACTTTCAATCAGATACGAGATAGTTGCGGAAAGAGCGTACGCGATATTAACGAAAGTGTTTAGAATTACACTTATTATGTTATAAGATACAACGGACGAAGTGAAATCCAGTAATAGGTATTTTAATACACTTAAAAAGAATCGGACAAGTAATTGCGCCGAATACTATAACAATATGAAAATTCTACGAACCACTGTTGTAAAAGCAATTTAAGTTTATCGCACCATACCGTTATGTTAAGTACCATAAAAACTATTATTGTACAAATAAAATTCAAGGCTCTAATGTGAAAACACAAATACGAAGTAATAAAGGAGTAAGAGTCAAGACAGGATGTTAGTGTCTAAATAATTTTAATTTTAAGTCTATTGCGAAAAATTAAAAATATTTCTCATACCATTTTTACACCCTTCTGCTCCGTCACACTTGTCCGGCTGTTGGGCACTGCATACTGTAACAAATTGGGACGCATTAAAAGTACTACTTATTATAGACAGTTACGCTAGACTAAATCAATCTGTTCTATGGAAGAACATAGTCGGGTGCGTTTGAAAAAGACATCGTAACCGTAAACGTAAGAGCTACCCGAAGATTTTTCTTTTTCTCAGAATAAGGATTTGTGACAACAAAGAAGTAACGAAACAGAATCGAGAGGAAGAAAAAGTCTTCGTAGTATTATCGTATATATCCAACGTTAAACAAAGGGGGGGGGGGTGAAAAATTGAATTTTTGTGCACAGTAGGTTATATCGTCGCCAGCAAGTCGTAACTTACGCATCGGTGACATGACGATGGTAAGAACTAAGATTGGGACAAAGGGTGGTTTCATTAGTTTCATTAATCACGTTAAAAGGTCGTGTGAAAACTGATATAGCGCTATATAATCCGTTCAATACTGCGTCAATGTTTTAATCGCGAATCATACTCTCTTTATCCTTCAGCGATGTACCGAGACATTCACTTCTACGTGTGGACAGCCATTATTCACCTCGAACTAATCGCAAACTTATTGCCTGTTAATAGTGTTTGTATGATAAAGCTATAAAGCAAGCACCTTGTGCGTAGGAATAGCTACGAATATCTTGATCAGCTTGATAAATAATTCATCGCAGCAGCGATAATTCATAGCATTAAAAATTCAATTTTAACATGGAAAATCACAACAAGTGCGATAAGTATCGTGTCACCTGTTATGCTGCGGCTTATCGCCGCAATTAGCGTTAGATCATAAAAAAATAGTAATTAGCAGGCGCTTCGATCTGTCCAACCAACAAAGACGACTATACGGGTTTTATAGCAGTGGACTCTTTGATCACACGAAAGCGCTCGTTAAATTGGTGCCGCGTCAGTTTCGTCCTTAACGAAGGCAGAGCGCCGCCGACTTTGTTAGATCCTCGTAAAACGTCGTGTTCCTCAACCCGTGCCACGAAAAATTTCTTGGGGTCAGAGTGTACGTCGTAAAAAACTAACTATGAAACGTGCCGCTCGTAAAACTGTTTCCGAGACCGCGGGATCAGTATGAACGTTAACCCGAAAAATCTGAAAGTTCGATTCTACGTGGTGAATCGTGCCGCCAGCAAACTTTAATCCCCTAAGTCATTATTACTTCTTGCTGCTATCGAATGTAAATCGTGCGTCCGACTCATATAAAAGGATCGTAAGACCTCCGGGCCGTCGTAAATCCTACTATTCTCGCGCTTGAACAATTTCAACATAAATTACTTCCAAGTTACATGACTCAAAGGAAAATATAACGCGCAAGGAGTAAAAAAAAGAGAAAAGGGGAGACGGATGTTAACATTCAATCTAACAATAAGTTTCCTCCTTGTATAAGTAATTTAAACGTATTTCCAAGAGATTATTACGTTTAGCTTCTCTAATAGTCGGTCTTGCGTACCAATGACAAAGGTGTTCAGCAGAAGGTAGAGCAGTAACGACCGTTTTTAACACGCTGACATATTAGTCGGCAGAATCTGCGTATTTCGAGCTTGTCACAAACGAGGAGCTCGTATTGCACAGTCAAACATGCCTCCCTCACATGTGGATCGCGGTCCAGCGTAACGTTGGACACGAGACATAGAATACAGGGGTTGATACGGGAGCTTTGTAGCAATGATACTGTTGTGTCACCGTTTGTGTTAATCGAAACCAAGCGTCGCCATCGTGATACGACTGAGGGTTCGTTTCGACGACGACGAGCGCGTTATTACCACGTGAACACAAACGCACCCTGACCATAGACAGCCGCGCGCACACACGCACACATACATATGCATATTTAAAATACACGAGAGACGTAATTCAAAATGTTTAAAATTTAAAGGAATAATTATTTTGCATAAAACAAGAACTAAAAAACATGTGTCAAACAGTACATACGATAATCGTTATAGATTTCCGATCTATTGATAGATACTATCTTCGCTTCGCCACACTATTTCAATAAATATAACTGAAGTCTTTGCAACAATTCCTCCGTCGCCTATAAAAATAGTAAACGCGGAATCGCAATAAGTTCCAGCGGAAAGAGTCGAAGGAACGGTCGTGAACGCAGCGGCTTTTACGAGACACGACATTTCGGAAGCAGTAAAATTCTATCCTGTCAAGCGTTCGCATAAAATTCTTGCTCGTCAGCCACCATGGCGCAAATACATGAGGGAGGGGGAAGGGGAGTGTAAAGAGCGTGCTCTCAATTCGTGAAAAAAAAGAAAGGATGAATATATGTAATCGTAATTCCATTGACCGCTTAGGCAACGTGCGTTAGGAGGAAGATGGCGTTAGAAAGGAAGACACACCACACCTCCTTCACTCATGCGTTAGTGATTTACAATGTCATAATACCCGCAACCGTAAAAGCACATCTCGTTAAAATAAACGCTCCCCTCCTTCGTACACATAAAGCAAACGTCTTTCTGTATTGATCAAATGTGTTCCGCTAGTGTATGTTGTCATATGCATACATGAGATACATCTTACGAAAAATAGGTGCATTCTCCGTTACTTTCTATCTGTCTACATCTATGAAATCCGCACCTCTTGGTCGGTTTGCCACAAAGTTTAAATATAATCAATCGGTCAATATAAATTGCAACGAATTCCAAGAAAGAAACCACAATTGAGCGTTATTGCATGTCACTGGACTTTCAGTAACGAAAATGATGACAAGTTTCACGGGTATCGAGACGAAGCAGTTGTGCACCTATTACTCCCACTACAGGAACAACGTCGTCTATCGATGCGCGAACGACATACGATGCAGAACAAGAAAGAGAGAGTGACGCAGACGAGGCGACGAAAGCGAGACGAAGAAACCATAAACACACCCGGAGACTGCTCGAGATGCCGTGAAGATCGTTGCCCCCGCGGAAGAGAGAAGGCAAAGGTCGTAAAGATTTTAAGACTCTTTGGATACGCGAAGTTGGCTCGCGCAGTGCTTCGCGGGAATGAAAATGAAGCGTCCTGGCCCGCGTTTCCACCGTAAATTCCCTCGCTCCTTGAATGTTTCTCATGATTCGCATCGAATAAGCATCGACCGAGAGGAACGGCATGAGAAGAAAAGGGATGCTCATACATGTGTTTGCCTGCGAGTGTGCACTGTCGTCAGATCGTTGTCAACCACTGAGAACCATAATATTTTATGACATTTTTGTAATAGTGGTAGGCTGCCTCGCATAGAGCAAGAGATTCGAGGGGTAGAGAAAGTGACAGATCATTTAACCCCGTGCCTCGTAAAAGAGAACCGGCTCGACTCGCTAGACTGTGACCAACTTTACTACCCACCCTGTGCACCCTCCTTCCTATCGAAGTGTCCTGTTCAGGTGACCAAAGCATACCCCTCTATCCGTGGCTAAACCACCCTCAAAAGCGCTTTACCACATGTGGCTTATACATTTAAAAGACTAAAAGTCAAGTACCAAGATTCACCACAATGATTTCGCCAAATTACGTTTCTATGTCAATTTCGATTTTTATGAAGATCTGATATTCGAATTTGAGTGTTTCAAGTTTCAATTGTTACGATTCCAAAGTTAAAGTTAATTACAATTTTTCTGCTTTTATCATTATTCTACTTACTAATAATGATAAAATAATAATATTAAAACGACATTTAAAAACTGCAAACGTAACAGCATAAGAAATAAAAAATATAATAATGGAGAATTAAGTTAAAAGACTCTTTTTAAGTAAACGATTTCGGACTAATCTGATTTAATAAACCAAATGAAAAAATCGAACACATGGGTATATAACACACATGGATTTTGATAAAACGACGCGATACGATAGTTTACTGTCAACAGTATGCACGGCCGAATAACAAATATTTCTCGTACCATTTTTACAGCTTTCTGCTCCGTCACACTTGTCCGTCTGTTGGGCACTGCATACTGTAACAAATTGGGACGCATTAAAAGTGCTACTTATTATAGACAGTTACGCTAGACTAGATCAATCTGTTCTATGGAAGAACATAGTCGGGTGCGTTTGAAAAAGACATCGTAACCGTAAACCTAAGAGCTACCCGAAGATTTTTCTATTTCTCAGAATAAGGATTTGCGACAACAAAGAAGTAACGAAACAGAATCGAGAGGAAGAAAAAGTCTTCGTAGTATTATCGTATCCAACAATTATATATCCAACGTTAAACGAAGGTGAAAAGGCGAATTTTTGTGCACAGTAGGTTATATCGTCGCCAGCAAGTCGTAACTTACGCATCGGTGACATGACGATGGTAATAACTAAGATCGGGACAAAGGGTGGTTTCATCGTGAAAGACGGAGAGATGAGTCAAACTAATGCGGGAAATGCGACTCGACTTGCTAACGCGAAAGATTCGTCTAACAGGCTTTTGACGCTCGCATCATAATCGTGAAGTCAACCAAGCGAAAATTCTGCGATCGTAATCCATACGAGTTGTCGAATCGTGTTTTACAACGAGAACTTTTACAAGGATCAACAGAATTATTTATATTCTTCTACTGAAGTATAAATAAAATATACTTCTATAAATAGAAATATGTCTCCAATTAAAAAGATATTTGCAACTGTTCCAATGCTTTGTTGCATTATCGATACGTTTGCAAAGATCATAATGAATTAATCACGTTAAAAGGTCGTGTGAAAACTGATATAGCGCTATATAATCCGTTCAATACCGCGTCAATGTTTTAATCGCGAATCATACTCTCTTTATCCTTCGGCGATGTACCGAGACATTCACTTCTACGTGTGGACAGCCATTATTCACCTCGAACTAATCGCAAACTTATTGCCTGTTAATAGTGTTTGTACGATAAAGCTATAAAGCAAGCACCTTGTGCGTACCTTGCGCGTAGGAATAGCTACGAATATCTTGATCAGCTTGATAAATAATTCATCGCAGCGGCGATAATTCGTAGCATTAAAAATTCAATTTAACATAGAAAATTACAACAAGCTAGTACATATTACAAAAAGCTGTATACATATGTAAATTAACATTTTTAATAATAATGAAAAGAAAATATTAATAAAAAAATTTTTGTATAATCTCTGAAATGATGCGTTTATCTACTTCTAATGTACTCCTATTATTATAACATCAAATGTTATCTGAGACTGTCATAAATACCATGTGGCACGTGCATCCTTAAAAATAGCAGCTCTATTTTTAGAGCGTTTCGTAAAATATATAAATCCATTCTTCTCGATTCGATGAAAAGACCCGCAAGAATGATTATCACATTTTGTAAATAAGTAGTCTAAACGAAATGTCATCACACGCGGGCCAAGCAAGAAAAGAAACCGACGCTGAGATTTATGAGCAGGATTTTCAGTGAGGTCCACCGAAAGAGAGTTGACGATCGTAAAAATCTCACATCAATGACGATCGGTGTGAGAACATGAGAGTTCTTTCCGGTTTTTTTTTTCGGTATAACCGAAAACGGTTTTCCTCCTATTACCTTTGTGAGAACGATAATGGGTCCACTTGTACGTGTAAAACACATAGTTAAAAATCCGTGATTTAAATTTCTTTTCGAGACATCGTCTGAGTCTCGAAGGAGGATGTTCTAACTAGACACATAGATACAAAGTACACGGTGACTTGAGAAAAGCATAAAATTACTTATTGTTAGTTACTCTCAAAATAACAGCACATTCTATAGTCTCGAAAGAGATGTTCATCAATTAAGACAATTTATTGTATTCAATTTTCTACCTATCAATTATCCGAGAACCTAGTTTAATAGGAAAGAATCGACCAATTATTGCGATAAAAAAAGCAATAAAAAACAATTGGGCTTGCTTATCATAATCGCTATCTGCGTGTGTTCGTGCATGCTATCTAGCGATTTAAGGATGTATCGGACCTATCTTCAAAATAGTACAAAGTCGCTAAAAATTGGTGAAATTGTTCTTTTAGTCTTCCTAATTTATTGCAGAAAAGTGAAAATGCATCCACTAAACGGTTACTGAGATATAACTATTTTAATTTACACTGATTTTACACGTACTCTTATGGGAAAAGCCGATCTTCACGGATAAAACAGCTACAAAATGTTGAAGAAATAGTACCAGTGTTTTGAATTTTTTTATACATCTAGTATACGAATAGATGAAAATATCTACCAAGTTTTGATAGTCTTTACTGCACCGTTTTAAAGAAATAAAATATAATAAAATATAACTTGAGATATTCGTGCTGTCGGCACAAATTTTTTAGTTTTGAAAATATTTGACGTTATTAAGAATTGAAATCAGAGCATTTTCACTATCAAAAGTTTAGGCTCATAAGTGAAAAAAATCGCAAATAATTCAGGAAAAAACATTTGTTAAGTGAAAAATACCTTTGTAGGAGTACAAATAAGACTCCAACTATCGTTCAAGTTTCTTACATCTAGATTTACTATGCGTTAAGAGTAGATATTTAAGTATTTTCAATTTCATGCACTTTTGTCTAAGATTGCACGTCCAATACATCCTTAATATTTCTTTGATCCACCAAAGAAATTACGCACGACGGAAATTAATCTTTATAATTGATCGAACACTTACAATTAACAAAAGCAAAAAAATCATACCATTCAATAAACAGATATACTTTTTCTCAACTGAAGAAATAAAGTAAACTTGGCTAAACATAAAATTCTACTTTTTCTTCTGAATATTATATTGGTAGAAATTATATCAAAGATAGACGACGTAGCCACTCTCTATGTAGGAATAATAACGAGCGATGCGTTATTAAAAGCCAGTACTTAATGTCTCGAAATGCAAGCTCGTAAAGGCAAACTTTACAACCTCCATATACTCGTTGTAATCACTCCCGGAGTTGAGGTATAACACCTCTACGACGTCACGACTTTCCGTATTATCGGGTATCCCGCGCCACTTTTCCATTATCACTGATCACGATACCACGAGGATGTGCCAGTGTTAATTTCGGTGGTTAACCCCGGCGGTTAACCCGCGCACGTATGCGCTATAAATTAATTAGCACGCGTTTATGGCCGATCCTGACAATGCACCTCGGGGCTTGCGTAAGTATAAGCGAAATTTCCGGTGATTTCACTGACACGTAAATAAATTATCCTTATCTCATTTTCGAAAACAACTCAAAGAAATTACGCGACATATGCAATTATGCGCTACGATGGGAGAATGAGTGTTCAGTGATAAATTTGTTCACGAGAATACCCTCTTCTTTTCCACCGCATTTCTTCGTTCTCGTAAAAAGACTTTACAATCCCGCTGTGGTATTATCCCAGTGGGAAATTGTAGAAATGCAAGTGTATGCAGTGGTCCCCCCTCTCTTTCCCCTCCCCCTCACTCTACGAAAGAGGATCACGTTGTCAATTCAGGTTTAGTGGTTAGTCCCGCGCACAGACTTTCGCTTCCTTCAAACCCATTTACCGGGGACAAACTATTTCGTCCAAAAGTGAGCAAAATAACGATAACTTTTAAAAACGAGCTGGATCGTAAAAGCAAGAGCGAGCTCCTAGGTTTCGGCTTTGGTTATAAGTTCGTATTATATTAGCCGAGTTCGCATGGCCAGTCGGCCAATGGGAACGCTCGTAAAACCAGGGTTAACATTCGGTTGGGTTGTCAAGTGAAAGAGTGGCTTGAATTTCGTTGGGATCCCTGTGAACGACGTTATAAGTACGTTCGTTCACTTATACACACGGAACACTTGCACTCTGAGCTTAGAGACGACAGTGACAAACGCGACGTGATGGAGCATGCACTTTCCGCATAGATTGTTATTGAAGAACAAGATAAGACAATTCTGCTTTATATTACATAATATAGTCGCCATCCGAAACATTGTTTTTTTTAATCACTGAATATTCTATTCTATTCTCTACATCGTAATAATCATAATTCCTTGCATGATGTACAATATTTATTTATCTGCAAGCGATAAGTCCTAGCTGAAATATTTCGAATTCAAAGTCCGCAAGAGAAAAATAAGACAAAGTTGAGAATGTCGACCGTACTGGTCGATCTAACAATCTCGAAGACAGTGTGAGAATTGTCCTCCGTGACAGAGGATCTCTCTTTCTTCATCGATTGACATTTTGATGCTTGTGTACGATATAACGGTTTAAAGAGTACGCGTGAGAGTAAGCAATAACCTTCTTAGCTTGAATGCACTGAATGCTGATCTTTGTTCCTAGATTCCGCAACGGAGGAGGTCCCTATCTCGCCGCTATAATTTATTCTATAATTATTTCGCTTGATTACAACCATAGAGCAGTACCAGAAGCGAAATGCAGTCGGCTATTATCACGATCCGTGAACTTTGACATTCCATCTTATTTTTGCGGGGGTCATCCGGTAAAAGGCCGAACAACCGCAAAGAGTCGTGCGTTGAGTTCCTAACTGCACTGAGTGTAAAAGTTAATTCACATCGCGGGTGAATAACAAAATCCATGGATCGCCGTTTCTCGTACTAAATTGTAATGTTTAGATCCTTTCTGTTTTAAACAGTTTTATTTATGCACGCACACAATATCATCGAATTATATCATCGAATTAAACTATAACCAGTGCTGACCGGCGCGCGTGACGTGCGTAGGATACCCGACCTATAAATAATTGTATCATGCTATCGTCCCTCGCGATATGATATCAAAAGGAAATACTGATATCTTTTCTGTTATTACTATCACAAAAAAAATATCCATCCTAATGTCGAATGCAAAATATACCACAAAGAAAAGAAACAAATCTCTTTTAGTGCATATAATTACAAATAATTAAATGTAATCATATAAAAACGCGACAAATGGTTAGCAACATAAGTAATACATTAATGGTTTTAACTTAAAAAACAAAACATCCGCGCGATTGTAATTTGTATCTGGCGACAGTTACATAAAAATCTTAAATATTTGCCCTTTCTTGAATCTTGGTTATCTTAATATATCGCCGATATAAAACAATTTTATTAACAAATTAATAAAATTAGGATGGCTCAAATGTGATAAACACAAATTTGAAGGAATAAAGGACTAAGAGCCGTGACAGGCTGTTAGTATCTAAATATTTTATTCTAAATTTATTGCGAAAACAATATCATCTCAGAGGTTAGAATAAAATATTTAGACACTAACAGCCTGTCACGGCTCTTAGTCCTTTATTCCTTCAATTTCATTAACTTCAATAAAATGCGATGAACGATGACGAGGATTTTTTTGAGACGAATTCAAAAATCGAAAGCATAGAAATTTTTTGATGCTAAATAAAGTTTCGAAAACACGTTGAGGATGTGTTGTCTCCTGTAAAGGATGCATTTCACAAATGCACGGAAGATGAGAGATACCGGAGGAGAATGTGTGCAACAGGTAGGCAATCTCAGTTTTCATCGGGTACGTACCTACATGTTATGTACGTTCATCATGTAGGTACAGTAAATAGATCAGCATGTATACCATATTAAGACATATTTCTGCAATGTGAGCGTATGTATGTATCTAACAAAATTACCTTTTTAAAAAGAGGTACAAAAAAGACCAAGTATACGCGAAAGAACAGAAAAAATAATAAAGAAGATAATATTAAGCAGACAAATATTTATACAAATAAATATTTTAATCTAAATTCTTGGAGGTGCTAAACCGAATTTTACACACACACACACACACACACACGGGCGCGCGCGCACAGACGCGCACGAACAGGAGAAGGAGAGAAAGAGATTAAGGCAATTAACATATTCATTCTAGAATCTGAAAAGTATTCTAGAAAATATATGCGATCCAAGCAAAACGTATACTTTTGAGTACATTGAACTTTATACGAAGAACTTTGACTTTACACGAGCCAATCTTGTAATCATGATATTGGATTATGACTTCTACGTTCTTACTAATCACACTATAAAATGCCACTCGTATCGCGACGCAAAGGTTGCAGTACTGTCAGCTGAATAATGCATTATAGGTACAGGTGAAACCTATGCGAGATACTCAAATGCCAGATGAATTTCATCTTGTATATAGGCGCGTTATATGACATACATAAAGGACCGGGTGAACTCGACACAACATGGTTTTAGATTGCTGCAAATCCTAAAGAAATTATCTGATTCGTCCATATTCAACCAGAAATTTTTTTCAGTGTGCAAAACATGCTGCCATTATGATAAGAACAGTTCACCGTAACTCGACATGGGTATGATGGGGCTAATAATGTATTTTAATTTGTCGTGGTACTTGCAGATAATACAAGTAGTCCTACCTATTCGTTTCACCATAATTACATTACTATTTATATATAATATATACTATTATATATATATATATTTATATATGTATACATTATAATCCTTCACTGTTTATATTGATTATATAGTAATTATATGCGGAATATTCTAAAGATTAGAAATATTACATAAATATTGAGCCATAAAACAATGTACAATCCTTATGTACCATTACGTATCTCTGGATAATGTAATTTGATTGATGTAATACATTAATTCTAATATATTCTGTTCTAATATAATTATGTTCTAATATAATAAATTAATTCTAGATTTTTTAATTGAGCAATGAGACATATATCTTTACTTCTATTTTTATCGATCTTTCAGAATTCTTTATACATGATAGATTATCATCCATTGATATGTCTGTATCATCTAAGCAATAAACGTGCAATTTATTATGTAATATATATGTCAACATTACTTACGCTTTGCGTACTTGGTAAAAAGTAAAGGTGCTGGTAATGGCGATATGTCCAATGGCATCACCTGTTAAGAAAAAAATAGTATATAGAAATATAGATAATAAATAATACATTACGGTTGCGATGAGCAGTATATCACGAGACACGGTAGTGTCTCGCGCCAAGTGTAAGCGTAGCTAGTACACGCGTTACATACAACAAGATTACAAACTAGAAATCTTAATCTCAAATTCAGGGATTAGCCGTTCGGTTTTAATATAACTAAGTTAAAAAAGTATGGTTCAAAATTTATTTGTGCAATTCATCAAAGTTACGAAATAAGGTTTCTAATTTACTTAGATTTACATTTCGTTAATTGAATTAGGTCTAATAAAAATCAAGAAACTAACGAATGTTTAGAAATTGCGTGATAGTTTACAGCATTTTACACTTTGCCGGTCGATATACAGGTTAAGTAAAAAGTACCGGGACAGTGAAATATCTCGAAAACAAAGCATTTTCGAAAAAACGTTTTCTATAAAAGTTGTAGGGTTAAAAAAGATCTATTTCATGAAGTTATCAGTTTGCCCTTGAATGGCGTCGACAAGGTCAGGTCAAGGTTACATCGACTTTTTTAAATGGAACCCCCTATTGTTTATCATACTATCTTATTCTACTAATTAATATGAACGTCTTGAATATCTCAAAAACTATTAGGCAAATAAAAAAATGTTTCAGATAAAACTTGTTCATATTAATTAGTAAAATAAGATAGTGTAATAAACAATAGGAGGTTCCATTTAAAAAAGTCGATGTGACCTTGATCTGATCTTGTCAACGCCACCCAAGGTTAAACTGATAGTAAATAGATTTAGTAAATAGATGGTTTTTAACCCTACAACTTTTATACAAAACGTTTTTCTCGAAAATGCTTTGTTTTCGAGGTATTTCACCGTCCCGGTACTTTTTACTCACCCTGTATAGACAACTGTCTTAACAAGAATCATATCCAAATATCCGTAATAATTTTGGCATGATATGCAGGATATCCCGTGGAACACCTTGTAGTATGTATTATATAATGAGTTGTTGTCAGTAAAAGTTTTTACAAAAGAAGCTGGCACCCCAAAGTTTCAACCATGGTTTTTTTTAGCTTAATTCGCTACAACTATTTTTTAAATTAATAAGGAACTCTAGAACTCTTCGGGGTGCATTCAAAACTTTAACCAAAAAATGATTTTTTGAAAAGTGGGATGCCAACTTCACAGAGGTCGTTTGAACTAAACTGTGATCAGTAATAAAACACAGACGTATCTCGAAATTTTTCGCAACCGCAATGATTACAAGTTTTCCATTGTATCAGGTCTTAAAAAACAAAGATAGACTAACCTCGTCAGGATGTAGCTTTTTCTCCCTACTCAAATCACACGCTCTTTTCATAGCTATCTTGTCTGCCGATAATCTCTGTTGCCGCAGAAAATAAAAGCAGGCCGTACAATAGCAGTTTTGGAATTGGCAGTATCTCTTATGTCCCTTGAGCGCAACGATCTTTTTATGAACGTAGCATCGCCCACATTTCGGTGACAATCGATCACTTTTAGTTTCGGTTGACGTAGATTTACTCACTTTCTTGTTACTCATGGCGTTCGCAGAAACTTTTTAATATTAATATAGATAGCTGATTTTTATTTTCTTATCAATGATTGTAACGATCTCTTGTCGAGGTCTGATTCCGATGGTCTCGTAGGATAATGACGATTATTATATTCGTTGTCTTGTATAAAGTTGCGTTTTACGAGTCCTTTGTATTGCTATCCGTATGGTTCTACTTCCTGAAACATACAACGAACTATTTTGATAATTTAAACAGAAATGCAAAAAGAAAAAATAATTAAAATAAACAAATTGTTAAAACACTGTGGCAATATAATATAATACCCTAATAAACAGAAAATAGGAAATAAGAAGAAAAATGCAGTTTAATAGCATTTTGATACTTATTTAAATTCATAAGACGCCATAATACGGTGAAATCAGCTACATAGTCAAGTATGCAGTCAGTGTTTGTTTTAGTGTTCTTGATGATCAGTATGTAATCAATATGTATCTCGATTATGTACACTATTCGTGGTACAAAGTAATTTTTACAATCTATTTTCGCGGTAATTGCAATCGAGAGTCTGCTGACATTTAATCGATGTATATAATAAATATTGCTCAGAAAACAAAGACGTTTTTATCCATTTGAATGAAGATATATAATGACGAGTTTCGAAGAGATAAGATTTCATCTCTTTTATCTATTTTTATAATTGCCTCGGTATAGAATGTATTGGAAGCAAGCGACATAGGTGTTCATGTTAGTTAAAAAAAACACGGATTTATAAGACTACGTCTTCGGATAAATTGTTAATTCTGGAATATGTGCAACAACGAAAATCTGTAAAATCTATTAACCACTCGTGTATTCACGTCTCGAGATAAAGGATACCCGAGCCTGAAATGGGTAATGGATAAGCTACGTATCTCTACAAAAATTATATGATAAATCCTGACACGGCTAAAGCCACTATGAAGGACACGGGAGTCACGACCTCATGAAGGCAAAGATACGTTTCTCTTGGCATCGCCGCAGATGGTCATGGTAAGTAAAGTGAGGTAAAAGATACGCCATACCAAAGAAATACAGCACATCAAAACCTGCCTCATTAAACATTCGTGACTTATCTAAGAACGAAAGATCGTAAAACAGATGCCGCAACGAAATTCCAATTCTGCAGATTTAACAGAGCAAAAAGATGTTGCTCGAATTTTATTATTGTCATTATAATAATTTTATCTTTGTTGTATTTAATCACTTACAAAGATGGAAATTAAGAATAATTTCAAAAATTAATATCAAACATTATAGAAAAAACAAACAGTATATTACGCTAACACCGTTAAAAACGCATTCGATCAATAACTATTAACTTAAATGGTGAATCCTGAAAGACTATGTCTAATAAAAATGTATATGCGCATTTACTTTCGCAGAGCTAGTAGAATAATTGACAGACGATAATCAAAGGGCAACTACTCCACTTATTCCTCAAATTATTATTCAGGAATGAAGATTATAATTCTATTAAATATGTACCGCTAATGCCCGCTTATAGGACACAAATACTCTAATAGCAGAAAAACACAAAGTAGGTTATTACCAGCTATACAAAAAATAATTCCGTGTACAACTTTATGAAGAAAGTTTACGTAAAAAGTATATCGCGTGGAAATATCGATTCAAGTATGTTTTGTATACTTGATGTATACAACACGTATTATGCACTACATAATTTATCAGTAAATATAAAATTGTAAGCTGTAAAAAGTGGTAATTGATGTAAAAATAAATTTTTATTTTCGTGTAGAAAAGTAGAGAAATTTCGTGTAAATTTACAAAAAAAGAATAAAGTGAAAAAGTAGAGATACAACAAAATAAAATTAAAGGTAATTATTCAAATAAATTAATCTACATTACCTAATTGATATATAATAGTGAGACAGAATCTACTATCGGAAATTACAATTGCTAATGCATTTGTTCTCGAGTGTGAGAATGCGATAGAAAATGCACATTTTAAGCAAAATCGCGGTGCGTAGCCAATTATTATAATTTTCCAACGAACACGGGATCTAGAAGGTACTCATTATTACTTAAAACTCCGAATACTATCATTGAAACTAACGAATAACGTGACTCGCTGAAGCGTCGGGTATTATTAAAACAATAAGAAAATATCAGACAAAATCAGATTGGCAGAAATTGCAAGCAAGTTTATTGTATCACGTAATTGTTATATTAATGTTTAAAACATCTACTGCAAAATAAAAAACTTGGCAGATATTATTTCTCATTATACCTCGTAACCCTGAAAGTCTTACAGTCGCATTTAAATACACGTTGAATGCATTGCATCGTAAATTAGAATAAATCGTAATTGTTCGAGAATGCGCGGCGTAGTGAGAGTCACCGACGTGACAAGGAAACAAGAAGAAAGACAGGGAATTTCGATTAAAAATAATAGCCACCTTTAATTTCAAGTATAGCTACACCACTAAAAGTTCACAATGTACTTTCTTTCCGAAATTGCGAGTAATTGTTTATGACATGAGCTCGCTCTTAGAAAAAAAGAAGGTCGCCACTTGTTTTCGCTAATGTTTTTCTAAACTAACGACACTTCTAGAAAGAACTCATGTCATAATGATTCCTAATTGTTTTCGGGCAATTAGTGATTAAATATTTACGCGGCGATGCGATGCGCCTCTATGCAGAAGCAGTCAAATACTGTCTCAAACAGTATTGATATTGAACTATAATCTAAACGATCTGCAATGACAATATTAAACAATGTATTCGCATTTAACTGCATTATCATTTAATCTTACCTATGATTTTTAATAGAAAGCATCTTCAAATTTCTGAAATTACAGAATATTTTTGTAATCATCTGTTTCCGGTTGTACTTTTGTTGCACAAGAGTATCGTGATAATATCATCCACAATTTAACATTTTCAAGTAACATTGATCAGATCTCTATTTTAAAGTAACGTGTCGGAAAAATTGGGAAGCACTGTACGTTAAGATATTTACAAGTAATATATAGAGATATAATATCTGCATATATCAAGATATCTAATTAAACTTTCATGAAAAGCATATCGCACTGTGAACCAATTATATACTCGTATAGTAAATTCATACACACTCGCGAGAGAGACTCGAGATAAATCGCTCGTACGCCGCGCCGCGTTATCGCCGGGAACGCGATCGCTGCGAATGGATTCACGATAGAGAAAAAAAAAGCGCGGCCACATCGTAGCAGGCAGAGAATACATCTCCGCCTAGTTACATTGTATCCCGTTCACGCGACTTTTTAACTAACGACGACTTCCTGCCACGTCGGCGTGGAGGCAGATGCCATCGGTACAGTTACTCGCCAAAGTTTTACCTTCGAACGAACTGCGAGAAATTATAACTTTCATCACCTTTGCCGTTTCGCGCGTTTTATCCTATCATCGACTTTCCCGTATAATTATTTTAATTATTGCTTTGTCATTTGACAAAGTATGCACAAAGTTAACACAAAGAGCATTTATTAATCGCAATAAAGTAATCCCGTAATAAATCCCGACTTATTTCTTGGACCATGAACGATTATACTGTAAAAAATTAATTGCTAAAATGCTTCACATAAAAATAAATTAATCAAGCATTAATAAACAAAGTGATACCTAATTTTTGTCTCAACCGTATGTTTTACTCTTAAGACAAATTTCCTCGAATCGATGGTGTTTATTATTTTATCTATCTATTGCGTTTCCCTTTGTTTTTTGTGGTTTCTGTTCCCCTTCTCTTTTGCGGTCATCTTATACTTATTACCATCGCTTCTCAAACATTATAAGATCTTACTCATTACCATGAATAATCAGCTGTGACTTATCTGTCCTTTGTTTGTAAATTATTGATTTTATCAGTGTGAGCCTTCTTATTTTATAGTAATTATTAATGTTTAATGTACATTTAATTTAAATGTACGTTTCGGATAATATAGAAGCATTGAAATTATATTAAAAATATACGTTTTTATTTAGTTCATATTTGTTTAAATACTTTCGCAAGTGATTATATCGGCGACCGCAAGAAAGATCTCGCCGAATTTAACTCTTGTCAGATTTCTTTTTAACCTCATTCTAATATTGTCGTCATCGTAACACCTTAAGAATTGATTCGTGCGTTTACTGTTCTTACTCTTTCAAATTCTTCTGCTCAAAATTTGCCGTTACTACAAATTTTCTATTACTATAATTGCTATTATTAGTATTGAATTACGACTTATTATTAATACGATTCATATCAATTCATCAGCTGGTTAATTATAAAATATGAGATCTAGCATATTTCATAATTGTAGTACATTGATAAAATATTTTGTTAATCATATGAAACTATACTAGAGAAATCTCCAAAAATATGCTTTTAATATAGTCTAATGTATTCTCTTTTTGCATAAACTAAAGCCGTCCGTCTCCAAGACAATCGCGCTAACATATATTCGTACGTTGGAGTCGGAGGAATCGAATTAAACGCTACAAATCAATCTATACATTTTTAGGATATTTTTATTGCGTTCAATGCTCGAGTATCCTTGATCTGATCCAATATTGTAACTTCCTTGATCTCGATATCAACACGATAGTGACGATAAGGAGATCGATGTAACCTATAAAAAATCGCGCGAAACTAGTAGTTAAGTTATTTAACCGAGATATAACTTTATAAACGGTAACTTCTGTGGAACAGAAGTGCGAGAATTAAACAGAATTGTATGAACGCTCGCTAGAACCTGAAAGTTTTCTTGCACGATAGGCAATTGAAACTTTCGCAGCGAATTTGGCGGCGTTGAATGATATCGGTTACGCCGTATTTGTGTCAATTTATCGGGATCGAGGCTCGTTTTGAATCGAAACGCGCTTCCTATTTTTGTACATTTACTTATATAATTATTATATAAATAGAAGATAAACAAATAAAATACGTTATATCTTTTTCTGTTGTTACGTGTTTGTTATAAACACAATTCTGAGACGTAAATTGAAAAAAAATCATCTAAAAAGAGTATCTTTTACATTTACAAACGTGTATATATAATTTTTCCAGTAATAATGTTGCGTCAATAATTAGCATTCTATGCAATAATCTTATCTGCGATATTATCGCTGCGCTAGGCATCATATAATATATTGCCACACAACACACTAGAACGTACTGTAATAAATTTCTTCGTTGTAAATTATTCCATGCGAAAGTAACCGAAAGTTAATACCGGTATTATTAAACGTACTCCGGCTGAAACTGCGCGCGCAAGAATGGACTCTCACCTCAATAACGCGTATATAAAGTTCTTTTTTTCTTAAGTAATTATACCAATTTACATGTAACTCCTAATCAAAGCGTACCTCTTCCCTCTTACGTTTTCTTTTAGTAATGCACACTGTTCGCGGTTCTTCTCTTTGCGGATAAGCATTACTCATGTCGGTTTGCCGAAAGTTATCGCGCACAGTATCTACGTTCAATTACAACCAGGCAGGCAATGAGAAATTATTCTTTGCAATAAACTCACTCTGTCATCTGCCTCCCTCTTTCTCTTTCTCTCTTTCTCTCCCTCTGGCTGGCTCTCAGTGGCTGTTCCGTATAATGAAGGCTTTGGATAAATTGACGGTGTTCAAGCGAGGGTCCACTGGCTCTCGACACACGCGAGCAACACTGTATCTAGTAATCACGCGAGATTCGCCGGCGCGGCGCGGCTCGGCTCGGCGCGGCGTGTGCAATCGAGAAGAGAATCCCCGTATATATCTCGCGTGCAGAATTCCCGCGTAGTTCGTCCGTTACCCCGCGACCGGCTGCAGCACCCTGGATAAGTTACACGTGCGCGCTCGTGTGGCCGGGCTTTCAAGAAGTATCGCGGCAACTTCGTTACGCGTATTTTTGTTGTGCACGAGCGTTACGCACGTTGCGAGGGTACTCTTCGCGACACAAGCGACGGGGACGGGAGGGAATTAATAGGAGAGAGGAAAGGAAAAAGCGCGGCAGGAAGTCTCCGCCTCTGGAAACGAACAGTCCTCCCCTCTTGGCCACTTTTCTCGCTTTCTCGTCTCGCCCTCCTTGCCGTGCGCGCCTTTTTTCCGCTTTTATTCGCTTAAATATAAGATACATATATATATCTCTCAGTACTGTTGGTATGTCCTTTAATAAATTGTCCTGTTTCGTCTTTCATACGACGCGCGAATACGATCTAGGAGCACGAAGATGCGAGCTGGCAAGAGGTAAATAGTAGCCGCAAAATTCAAAAAAGGTAGCGAAACCGCGGGCACTCGTGTCGCACACGCGCACTTCGTACAAAGTCTCGTATTTCCTCCGCGTATCACACCATTCTATCACCGTCCTTGGCGCGTGTTCTTTTTTTCTTTATCCGTCGTCGACGAATCTTCGTGAGTTGGTAAGTACGCAAACTCGGAAACTAGTTCCGAAATTTGTCCCTATAGATGGCCGCGTAAGATGACAGTCCAGAGGTACTGGCGCGAGATCGCAGTGCGGTGGCGACGGGAAAAAATAGCGAGGCGAACCGTGACACCACCGTCGGGATCAGCCGAGAGACAGCCGTCAATACGATCGATGTGCACTTGCATGCAGTCCGTAACTTACTAAGACCGCTGGAGATCAGGGGTAGCGGACGGAGGGATTTTTCCCACCACTTGGCCATCTCTATCGCAAGTGCAGCGCGAACCACGTGACTCGAGCCAGGCTCGTGCTCAGACGGAACGTAGGGGGCTTTTCGGGCCCGTGTACATTTTAAGCAATATCTTCCTTTATGCATTAATAATATAAATATAATTTTCCTTGCGTTAATAATAGAAAAGTGTATTAAGATAAATGCATAATAATATCAAAAATGTATTAAGAATGGTATTAAACGCGTATACTGAGTTTGCGTAGGTCAAATTTATCAACTTTATCAATGAAAGAAACGAAATAAATTTATTATCAGCAAAATTGATATCTTTCTCTCATATAAGTTTCGTAAGGTCTTTAAATAAAATTTTTTTTAAGTAAATACAAATCCTAAAAAACACGGTTTACGAAAAGACTTGTACAATTCTAATTTAGATTGCCCGCACAGAAATTTGTAACATCGCGCAAGAAATTAATAAACTTTGTTATAACCATCTGAATAAATTTTTTTAATCAAGTATACAGGGTGTTTGGAACGAGAGGACCCCTACGAAAAATAGTAATATCGCTCTCTACGCGCTCATTCGCGCAGACGTTTCAGGAAATTATTCGATAACTATTGCGAATTTCGTAAAATGGTACATGACTTTTCATCTTAATCTAATTCAATCTACCACCATTTTTCGTAGAGGTCCTCTTGTGTCAGACACCATGTATAAATAAGAAATTGATCGAGTTTAACTTTCATGTTCCATTTGCACCCATGCATAAAAATTTATTACTTTCACCTATCCTTATTCTTCCAATTATTCTTAAAACAAATTGTATCTCGCTTCTGTTGTTTCTCAAACTTTGCTCGCAAAAAACGTGCGTGAATAATTGAATACGACATGTAAGTGCATGTGGGTGTCCGCAGTCAGTTCGAGTCCGTGGGCTAACAATAAGCTTAAATGACTGTGCGGATTAATTATCCCTGCGGGGCATTAAATTATAATATTGATTACATTATTTAATCGTCCCCCCAATGCTCCCTACTTCCCTACGCGACGGGCCTAAACAACACCACGTATCTCGGTGGGGCACATACGCTACTTAGGGTCATGCACTTAGGTATGACGCGTACGTCATATGACACTGTTGCGCCTGCGCGAAAAAGTCCTTCCTATCCCACCGATCTGTTTGGTAGCGGCGGCACGATGCGAAATACTCTGGCCACGAGTGAGGAAGGGTGGGAGACACGTTTGCGGCGAGGATAGTGAGCACCGGCAGTCGTATCAGGGGTACGCGACGCGCGGGAAACGGATAGGCTGGGAAGGGGATGGCTTTCGCGTCACGGTGTAGCGGTCGACCGGGTGGAGGTAACACGCGGCTCTGGATTGAAATCGTCCGACAGAGACGATCTGCCGCGTAGATTGTGTTGCACTTATGCAACACATGGCGCATCTCAACGACGGCTTCGACGACTTTTCACAACTTTGGCGGCAAACGTTATTTTCTTTTATTACTGCACGGTGGAACACTGGTGACTATTGGCATTCATGCTCCGGATGTTACTGGAGCGAGCCCAAAAGCCGATTCAAATAATTTAAATTGAATATATTTGATAAGACTCACAATTTCTATGATATTTGCAAGACGCGATGAAGCAATTTAGAGGAGAATTAAAAGGAAAATGAAGAAACACCCTTAGTGTTCTCGCGCTAAGTCACGTGCAGCAACAGAGATGAACCGCGTATCCATACGTGATAATGATATACGTGTATAGTAGTACAATGTATAGTAGTATAATGGTGAGAAACGTATAAGTATGTATTGGCAATTTAACATGATATCTATGTATATATTTGTACAAGAGAAAAATGTCTTTTGATAATCAAGTTAAGTCGTTTCTGCTATTTCTATATAACATCAAGAATTATTTGACGCCAGTACATGACTAACAATAATTAAGCTTTCAATCGACCATAACTGGCAACGTGTTTTTAACGCAGAAAATTTATTGGGAAAAATATTACCTCAGCCTGGACCTCCCTACACTCTAGGCGAGCGTCTCACCAATTCGACCACTGAGGCATGTGGTAATATTTAACGCAATAAGCAGTACTTATGATGACATCTTTGCGTTTATCTTTCCAATAGAACTGCGCACCGACACGGGTTGTCGCGGCTGTACACAGAACTATCGAAACGCGATTTTTAAGTGGGAGGTCCAGGTTCAAACCCTGGCTGAGGTAATATTTTTCGCAATAAATTTTCTGTGTTAAAAACACGTTGCCAGTTATGGTCGATTAAAAGCTTAATTATTATATAGCAATTATATTATATCATTAATTTAATTTAACTGGCTACTTACACCTATGCCCGGCCCTAAACGGCCTCTTCATTTTCTAATTGATTTTATATCTTAAAGGACTTAAGTTAAAATTGTATTAATTATATTATAATTGTTCTATAAGAATTTGTTCTTTTGGTTCAGTCCTAAAGAATTTGTTCCTTATAAGAATCACTTTACGACTATGCGTAATAAACGTGCGATAATTTTCACCGCAGTTTATTGACAATATTTACGTAGCTTGTTACAACAGCGTCCGCGCGAGTGTCCGACATCGCAAGTATCTCGATTATGTGACATTTAACATGAGGCTATAATATTCAGTTTTATTATTCCCCATTTATTATGCTCTCGAACTTTTATCTTCAGAAGGCTTACCATAGCGACTATAGACGCATGCCAGAAATTGTCATGTAATACACTTGTTAGTACCGCGTACGTGAACAATGCAATCCGAATAACTGAACCAGGGTGTATCGTACGGAAGATAGGCGGGGAACGAAATTTGAATGAAGAAAGTGCACACGTGTAGTACATGTTCGCGCGCGGCAACGACTCGCGATCGTAAAACGAAGCTAGTAGTAGAAAAGAATTTGATATATGTATTTGTGTGTGTATACGCGCGCGTACGTATGTATAAACGAGCTGTTGTTATGTTTAATATCCTTCATGCATGAGTCCTCGCTCATGTATATCCGATAGGATTCTTTTACTTAGGTAACCGAAGAGACCGACACCACCATAATGGTTGGATAAGTGGTAAAACGTGCCAGCCCCACGTCTGCCCATATCTTGAATTTACGGTCCATTATTGATTTTCTTAGCCGTTATGGCAATTACGTAGTTACACGGCGAATATTTTATTTCGCATTACTCGCATTATGATTGGCGTTATTAGGTGTTACCAGACAATTTTGAGGGTCAGTTATAGCCGCCATCGAAATATTGGATAACATCAAGAGGACGTTATAATATGAAGCACATTCCCAACGACTTTCTTATTCGTCGACGTAATTTATTCACATCTCGTTTTATATCAGAGGGCAAATACGAAAAATCGATTATTTTTCTTCGGCACAAGAAACGTGAAGCAACAAACACTTACATTTTACGAGCGCAGTATGTTATCCTAGTGACATTTAAAGCATGGAATAAAAAAATGTTTATTATTTTCGTCTGTGAATATCGCGCACGGTCTTAAAGTAGAAAATGTTCTAATTTACAGCAAGGAAAACACGAGAACTCGCTCTATGATTATAAATTTTATATATCGAAAAAATGTGGCAAAATATAAATCAGTTCTATTCCTTACAAAGCACATGTGAATGTACATATATAATAATGACATTTTAAAAACTATACAGACTTTAAACCAATTTTGATAATAAAATCGAGCTTCTTATGGTGTCATTTTTTTGCTTTTCACGTAAGAATGTGTAGTTTGTTTTAAATCACAAGAGCAACCAAGAAAATCACCGTCGCGGTTATCGAAGGGAAAATGCTTCGGAAAGGATATCGTTTAGCAAACGTAAAATGAGAGAAAGAGACGTGGCGGGGTAAGAACGATCGTAAAATGTCGACGAAATAGATCCGGAGTGCGATAGTCAGCGCTCGGACAGGACAGATACATGCGCACACGTGATGTCATGGTTGATACTCTGCTTGCGGCTGAATTTACTGATTGAACCACGGCGGCCGTTCTTGCGGTAGAAACGGGTTTTACGCGTTTCGGAGATGCCGGTGCAGCACCGGAAGTGTTCTCGCACGGGACGACTGCACCGAATTGTTTCAGGAAAAGATCGTAAATCTCTCGAACTCGAATCGGTATAAAACAGGTGAGTTTAAAATCGATACTCTAATCTCACAGAAACTGGGCGTATAATAGTAAAAAAAAGAAAGCAACGTTTACGTCCTTAGCGCATGTAACTTATAAAAACGTTATTAGAACTGTCTCGAATAATTAAGATAATGATGGAATTTTTGAATGATGGAATGTTATTACAGTTGATAAATTTTATATCTCATAAGTAATAAAACATATTAAAATCTCGAGCTATGTTTCTATAAATACGTCAATTTTCTTGGCAGATACGCATACAAGATAATCTTTGGAACGTAATTTAAATTGTTTGAAATTTTACTTACTTAAATTAAATTACTTGAATCAAGATCTGTCCATTTGGTACAGTGACTCATGTAAAACATATTTACATATTAATATTGATAAATGCAAGCTTTTAAACTATTTTACTCGACTTCTTTCTGTTATTCCAAGATCTTAAAACTCTGTGCCGACAATTCTCAACAATTTGCGCGATATTTCCAAAGTTGATAATTGCATGTCTAATAATAGTGCGATAATTGCAAAGTCTGATTATGATTTTCTATACTTAGGGGGACGGCATATCGTCACATTATAGCCAAATATTAAAAAAAATTTTATTACGTCTTGATTCTACTATTAGAAACTTGGAGCGCTTGATAGCAAGCTTGATAGGCTTCGTCACGACATGCAGTAATTTTTAATAACAGTGCACAGCACGACAGCGGGTCGCGTGACGAGCGAAATATTAGGTTCATAATAAGTTAAGTTTCTTAGTAAGAAGCAGGTAACACAAGAGCAAAACGTGATAAAAGATATCAAACTGTACACGCTACTCGAGTGT